ACCCAATGTACAAGATTTTTTCAATTGTGACGTATTCTATTGGCTTCAAGATACAGTTGTTCTTTCCTGGAATAGGTTGGCAGCAAGCTCATATTCTTTATTGTGACATTTTTAACAAAAAATAAACTAGATAAAAATATTTGCCACAGATATTTAAAGAATCCTAATTTAAGAACCATATCTGATTCAAAAACAAATTGACTGATTCAATTATGGTAAACAAGGAAAGCATGTAGATTTACATAATTGTATCCCTTTGCTACATCAGCATGAACAATATTTAAAAGATCAATTGGGATATGTACCTCTTCTTTTTAGTGGGAAAATACATGTAATTTTTTTCTTAAGAAAAAAATTAATCTCAACCCGTGATAATGCCTCACAAGGACCTCAATATTTTTAGGCATTAATTTGATATATACACAGTCTTTCCGTACAGTCCAGCTTGTATTTCATGAATATATCCATATTGCGATGGAATCTCTCTAGTTTGAGAAGTGAAAAATTACCTATTTATAGAAAATGTCCAGACAACTCCCACTCCTTTAGGTACCAACTGAACTATAAATTAGTCCACAGTGATAATAGACTGAGCTATGTTTTGTCACAGAGCAAATGATACCATTTACACAATGGACAGATGGCTGAGTATGATATAAAATGAAATTAGCAACAATGGACCACAGATGGAGATAAGAGAAAGGTCAGGAGTTAAAAGGTCAGAGGAGCTTGGATCTACATTGCTTTGTTGCATGCAGGATTAAGGACCACAGCTGAAATGGCTGTACTTAATGTACACTTGGGGAGGGGAGGCATTGTCCAGTATATGGAGCATCTAAACACTCACCCATGGTTGTTCAAAACTATAGGTACGTCTGCGGTCTTCCACATCTTCATCTTGCTTTGCTTGCTGAAATTCTTGCCTCAGACGCTGTATCCGGTCATGATTGCTAGGAGTTGATCGGATGCTAAAAGAAAGAGGAGGTAAAGGATGAACAAACTTTAGAACCATAATCTGTGAAATTTGGTTATTAGGAAAATCGCAGCTTCTTGTGAAGTGACAGTACTTTAGAAGTAATGAAAGAATTTTAAAACAAGTTGCAGGCATTAAATAAAATGTTCTTCAGTTTGCTCTTATTATTAATACTGTTTGCAGCTTTAAAACAAATTTCAAACGGAATGAGAATAGTGAGGCTATTTTAAAATGCAATTTCTAAACTCATCAAAGCAAATTGGCACTTCTACAGTTAATGTTACCATAGGGATTATAAAGTACAAAGAATATATTCATTAGCATCAGACAAACTTTTAGATTAAAAATTAGGAACATATAGGAAAAACTGACCACTAATATTTAATAAACATGGGAGATACTTATTCATCATTTAATCTATGGTACTGATGTCAGAACTTTAGTTCCATCAAATTAATTTATGATGTTTGGAAATCCTGTCTATAAACAATTTGATTATTTTCTTCCAATCAATAAGAACCTGTCATCCCTTAGTTCTGTTTCTAACAAGTCTTTTAAACTGATATTTTGATATCATTAAAAGGCTAATGGAAATGTAAAATTAAATCTATTTGACAGTACAATATTCAAGAACACAACTGGGCCAGAGGCTCACAAGAACACATTCAGGTTACAGGCTTGTTGACATCCTGTGACATTCCAGTATTCTGTGGAAGATTGAATAACATTATAGTTTTTTTTATGTACAGTCATACGCAGACTTGAACTATTTAAAACCATAAATTTACCATAATGGCCGTAACAGGTAATCCCCTCTCCATAGTACATTTTAAACTTGATTTACGTGAAACCATCATGAAATATGCACAGGAATGGCTAGTTTCATAAGGCAGATAGAAAAGTGGATATTCATTAATCTCATTGCCATTTTTCCAGCTTCTCCGGTCTGCCCCCCCTGTTCCCCTAACTTCTGGCATACTTCAGAGTTTTTGATGTGGGAATTGTAGGTTGCCTGACAGACAAATCTTTTATATTAAAGGCTAACCAGAAGCAATTCTTTCTCCATTTTAATCTCTTATTCTGGGGCTCTTAAGCCCTGCATTTATTGCCTTCTGTTAAAAGTGCTGATGAAAAAATGTTCAGGTATTATTACGTTGTTTCAAATGAGAAAGCTAAAGAGAAACAGTGGAGAATAATTCCATAGATTTGTAGATTTAGACACTGTACATAGAAAAAGCATAATGCATGCAAATCCCAGATCATCCCCTCCTTTAGGAAAAAAAATCAGAGGGGGAAGAAATTGTGAAGTCTCACTTATGGAGTTTTCCCCACTCTATCCCCTCTGGTGGGAGGGACTTGAAGACTATAGATTTCTCAGGTCATGTCACCCCCTAATCCTGTTGGAGCTGTACAGCTCTTGTCTAGGTTAATCTGTAGTGATACCATGCACTTTGACTTTTGTAATTGGCACAGTTCAATACAAGTACAAACATTTTTTTGGGTATAGTTTACTGCTTTTCAAAACTAGAGATTGTTACTATAACAAACAAGCAATATAGTAGTAGGGTATGTATAAAATGTAATGCAAAATACATGCAGACTTGCTGACATGTTTTTAATTTTTAGGCTTTAAGAGGTAAGAATATTTTTTTTTGTTTGCAATACCATTTAGTGTGGTAAAAAGAGATTAGCAAATAGCTCTAGTTAGGCCACTTGATGTACTTAAAATGATCAATGAATATGAGGGGGCTCATCAGTCAGGGGATGTGGTTCATTTCAAACTCAGAAGAGATAACAGTGTAAAAGAGCCACTGAATGAGCTGAAGGGATTAGCCTGTTGGAGGCACAGCAGGAAAGAGGGCATGACAATAAAGAGCTGCCTCTGTTTAATGGTAAGAAAAAGTACTGCAGTAAGGCAGCTTGTGCTAAAATGTTGAGACAATAAACCAAAATAGAGCCCACAGATTAAATGGAATTGATGCATTCTTATTGACCACAAAATGGGTGAAGGGATTATTGTAGAAAACATACTGTAAAAGACTTTTGCTCATTCTATGGATGCTGTTAAAAATAGTTCCATCAACAGTTGAATATTACACAAAATAATCAATAAAGATATTGTAAGGCATAATGGGTAAGCCTCCTCCGGAACTGTATGCTCAGCAGGTTGGTCGTCTTTTCACTGGAATGAGCTGGAGCAACGGAGGACGACCCCAGGATTTATGAATAACTTCTCCAAAAACTCTAAAAAGGATGAATTTATTCAGAATTGCACAAAGAAAATGTCAAGTTGACTTAAGGGAAGCATTCAAGTTACTAATGGGTTTGACACAGATAGACAAGAAAAACCTTCCATATTTTACCTCCTAACTGAAAAAGTGAGGGACAAAATCTAAAATTAGAAAATGGAGAACAGTGGGGAATGGAGCTATAGGGCTATTTCACTGAAAAATAGATCATTAAAGAACAAAATCACTTCAGTCTCCCAGCACAATTGCCATCCAAAATTCCTTGTACTCAAAGAGTCACAAAGATATAGAATAAGTGAGATCAAGTGACCATATGTTATTAAAAAAATCTTTAAAAATATTAAGAGAGAAGGTGGGGAGTTGGAGGGATGTTAGGATAACATAGGGAGATGGCCTTAAGAAACCTTTAAGGGAGGACAGATTATTTGGGGGAGGGGGAGGTTGAAGAGGAGCACATGTTGCCTCTCTTTTATTTTATTGTTTTGTTTTCATTCTCAGCCCTGCACTATGCCCCTTTCTTGAATCACTCCAGTGATCTCCTTGTCCGTCATATCAGGTTTAAACTTCTCATTCTTGTCTTCAAGGCACTGCACAACTCTACCCTGGCCTGCCACCTGAGCTCTTGTTTCTTTCCATCTTTCCCCTCTCGTTCTTAATTCCACCACCAGCTCCTTTGTTTCCTTCACCCACTCCCATCTTTGCATGCTTCTACGCATAAAATGACCAGTAGGCTATTAGAACACCCTATCCTCAACAAAAGCCTTCTTGAAAATTCATTCATTTCTTCCACAAGGAAGTGAAAAAACAAGAAGGAAATTAGATAAATGAAACGAAAACATAAAACCACACACACAAAACAACTGTTCTAAGATTACTTCTCTCCTGCGTCTCCCAGTGTGTGTTGTCTAATCTATGGCTGCCTTTTAGACCTCAAGCTCCTTGGGGCAAGGACTGTCTTTATGTTAGTCTTATAGAGCACTTAATGAATAATAAATAACCTAGCAAGTTCTCAGTCTATGACAATACCAGTTTTGACTTGGTAAGTATGTCACTTGGATGCAGGACTTTAGCCACAGAAAGTGCACTGGGAGAGAGGCTTTGTTCCAGGCTGCTTAAAATTCTCCTCTACTGGAGGGGACTTGTACAGAACCAGTACTGGTTGGGGATGGGTAATAGCCAGGCTTACTTATAAGCACTATATTACATTTTTGTTTGTGTTTTGCATTCACACGAACCCAAAATTTAAACGCCAACTCAATCCAAACTGTCCAGAATTATCTATGGGGAGGAAGGAGTTTAACTTGAAACTTAGCCTTGGTTTATTTGAAATTTGGTATACATGAAGCTGGACTGAGTTTCAGCTTTATATAGTAAACCAGCTATTGCCTAGTTTGTGCTTTTGTTACAAACCTTTAACTTAGCTGCGATTTACTTCCAGGGAGGGTGCCCGCAACTTCGCAGAAGACAATCAGCACCTCCCAGGGTCAGGTACTTGTGAGAACCCAGTTTTTTGTGAAGACAAATTACATTTCCTCTTGCTCCAATTACTAACAGTTCTTGAACAAAATAAAGAGGAAAGTTTTCAGGGCCAAACTCAGCCCTGGTGTAAACCGGCACAATTCCATTTGTTGCAATAGAGTTGGGCCTATTTACACCAGTTCTGCACGTGGACCTTAGTTATCTTCTGACTACAGATGGTAGATTTAACAGTTGGCTATTTCACAAATGCTACTTAAAACAGTCACCCGCATGGGCAAAAAAAAGCAACTGTAAGCAAAGCTTATAGACCAGACCTGTCACATATTTTCAGTAACAGGCAGCCATAGCAATGACCATAAGAGTCTCAGATCATTAAGCAATGTCTCACCGTGATGTCATGCATTGATGTACAGAGTTGTAATCCTTTCAAAACAGACAGATTGTCAGCGTGATAAAGTGGATATAAACAAGCTTCTGAACAGGGATGACTAAAGCTTTGGAAAAATTCATTTGCCTGAAAAAGGAGGAAAAAGGGTCCTAACACCATGACCACCGGGCAGTACCAACCCGGCTAGAATAACCAAAAGGTTAGTAAATGAACAATGTTTCCTACACCTTGACATTTTTTAACACGGATTGGAGCTGCCTGGTATTCCATGATCTAGCTAGCTGCTTAGATCTCTTGATTGCCGTTATAAAACACAAATGTAATAACTGGGTTCTCAATCATGGCAAGCTAGTGAGCGAACATTGCCTACTTGTTGTACTAATTACATTTCCTTAAGTTTAGACAGAATATTCACATCATTTAAACTTTCTTATGTTACTTTAAAAATCAAGAGTTGGATACCCCTCTATCCACAGGTAGAAGCAAGAAGAAAATGTGTTCCCAGGAATTTTAAAAGGTTGCCTCATTGGTTATTAATGGTGTTATCACTCTTGGGGCAATGCATTAGCCTGCAGAATATATGCTTGCCAAAGTTCAGAACTAGCTGAGTGTGTATTAAATTGGACCTGTCTTCATTGCTAGGGCAGGATAAAATAGAGGAACAGTGCTAGGGCAGTGTTAATCCACTATAAAAGCTTCCGCTAAATTTAATGGAATTAGAATACCTTTTCCCCCGCCGTGCTCATTCAAAGCAGATGGGCTTGTCTCAAATCACTCAAACAGGTGACTAAACAGCAACTGTCATGTTGTTGCAAAAAAAGATGTGGACATATGGTAAAATGGCATGAAAAATATCCCTGGATTTAACTTTAAGGTTAATGCTATACTAGACAATGCAGTCCACTACTCTGCAAGTTCTAAGTGAGTTTATAAACAGCTAGTGACATGGATGGATGTATCCAGACCCAATATGGTTAATACTTGGTGGTAACCTAGATAGTTAATAATCCTTCTCTCTTTCATTAATCTAGCTGGAACTCCCTAAGCATGCCTGTGTTACCAGTTTGGTCAGCCCTTCTTCTGTCTAGCTGTCGGTGCTGTAGGCATCCAGAATGCATAGTCCCACATGCTACTGGTGCCATTTTGTGTGCATGTTCTCCACATTCTCACTTCCAGAGGCATTATGAAATATAGGCACAGATTTTCCTAGAGTGCACTTACATGGCTAGGCAACATAGTTCTGGATGTGCAAATGGGGCTAACATAGGGTTGCATTGTATAAAGGAGTAACTGTGTGGTCACAGCTCAACAGTGTGTGTTATAATAGGGTCAGATGAGTATGTCACAAACTGGTTTAAATACCAACAGTTGTAAAGGTACTATGGAAGGGAACTTAGAAAGGTGGGTCTTTTATTGCTCCTGTTTTCCTCAAGTTCCAAAGAATTTATGAGAAATGGGGCAAGGGGGAAGGTGTTTAAAGAAGAAAATGTATCAATTACTAAAATGCAAATAAAAATAGCTTCTCTGCACAAGCTTCATTAACTTTTATCAGCTAGTATCTTGGGGTTTTACACTCAAACCACAGGTCATAAATTCACAGTAAATCCCCCATATGTTCAGCAAACACCTGAATTCAATTTCTCTTGTAGCTGTAGAGACTGAATGTGTTGCTCAAATTAATTATGTATGCAAAGTTAGTTTCTAACAGGGACAGCTTCTTGCATGTTGAAGGGTATACCTCCCAACTAAATTTTCTTTTACAGATCTTTTTCAATCTTAGCTTATTTCTATCATGTACAGAGTTACAAAAGCCCCCTTCTGCCATTTCATCTTTGCAAAGTGAATACAGAGAATGATATCTCCTTTAATATTTGTACTTTTTAAAATGTAGCTAAACTCAGGGAGCAGCTTAATATGACAAGCAAGATCTCTTTGCATTTTACCCCGGTCATATATATATATATATATACACACACACACATACATACATACATACATATATTAATTCCCACCTTGTTTTGGTGGGAATTAATATGCCATTGTGTGTGTGTGTGTGTGTGTGTATATATGTGTATATATACACACACACTGGCATATTAATTCCCACCAAAACAAGGCTATAGAAACTAGGATATATGTCACTGTGTATGTGTGAAATCAGCTACTTAGGAAGTTGGATGGATTTTCCAGTTTTCTTTCAGTTTTAAGCATCATCTCTAATATGAAACGTATTATGAGAAAGTTATGCAAATCCCAAAAGACACAACTTCCTTCAGCTGATAAAATTCATTTCCAGATTTTGACACTGTGATTTGTGGTCCATTTCACACCAATTTCAATGTAGTAAATCATCACAAATTAAAAATACACAGCTCTATTCTCTGGGTTAAAATGTTGGTCTCCAAAGCTGTTAATATGGCACTTGCTTTTGATGTGATAACTCTAGTCCTCTGGATATTTTATGGCTGATAGGGAGGTCACTTCACTACAGCAGACTCTTCAAACTCTCAAGACTAGATTTCACTTCCAAACCCTATGTGGTCATTTTGTAGCACGGCCATCATTTTACAACCAGTGAAATCTGAGGAATGCACCCAAGACCCCTTTTATTGCGACCATCTTTCTTCCTTATTAGCCTGTCAGAGCTCACATGTGGGAGACAGAAATTCTGTTTTGCATTTCAGGGGAATTCTTTGACTAAAAAGAAGAGCGAATATTTTAGAAGCCTGCAATAAACATGTGAACTCAGATATTAAGCTACTGGGCTATTTCGAAGTCTAATCCTTACTTTAGAGCTGTGAGGTTGTACAGAAACAATCCAAGCCAATTTCAAACCACAAACTACTGTAAAACCTGGTTCAGTAATGGCCATAGATCATTTTGTCTAAAATGCAAGAGTAAAAAAAAAACTTGTTTATTTTTAATTTTTTAACATACTATTATGATTTACTATTTTTAAAAACCTAATAGAAAAGAAAATGTAAATCATTTGACTCGGGAAAGACCTTTCCAAATATTAAGGAGGAGGTAGATGAACCCATAATAAGAATCAACAAATCCCTCGATGGTGTAAAATACAGGAGATCAGTGGACGAGGCATAGGAGAGATTAGTCTTCTTGACCACAGATGAAGCATAAAAAATATGCTAGAGAAGGGGTGAGAGGCAGTCTGTGAACTTCAAAATATTTTCCTACAGCAACATTGAAATCAATATATTTTTGATGATGGATCCAGTCCTGCAAAGTCTTATGCAGGTAACTGCACATATGATTAATCCCCATAGAATGCTGTGTGGAAGGCCTTGTCTCCTCTAGGAGGGTTTTGCTGTTTTAGTTATACCGGTATATTTAACTGATGAAACACTCCTAGCTGGACATAGTAATTCCAGTATAACTGTGCTTATACCACTATAGTTGATGCCAGTTGACTCACTAGTCTAACTGCATCCACAGTAGGTCTTATACTGGCATAGCTATGTAGGTAAAAAAAATCACACCATTAACTGAGGCTATGTCTTCACTACCTGCCTGAATCGGCAGGTAGAAATCGATCTCTGAGGGATCGAATTATCGCATCTCATCGGGACGCGACAATCGATCCCCGAATCGACGCTTGTACTCCACCAGCGCAGGTAGGAGTAAGCGCCGTCGACAGGGGAGCCACTGAGGTCAATTTGCCGCTGTCCTCACAGCGGGGTAAGTTGGCTCGGATACATCGAATTCAGCTACGCTATTTGCGTATCTTAAATCGACCTCCCCCCCCCCGCCCGTGAAGACGTAGCCTGACATAGCAATAGTAGTACAATTGTTAATGTAAACCAGGCCTTTGCAGGATGGGGGCCTAAATACTTACAAATGAATTATGTTCACAGAGCAAATGATTCTAATTATACAATTGATTTTAAAGTCATCAGCAAATTTCAACACAAAATTTTAGCGCATACTTTTATTTACATATCTGAACTGCACCCTTTAGTTCTCTTTCAACGTCAACAAGCTTATTTTCTTTAAAAGGTCATGAGGGGTTCTATGTCATGCTTAGAGAACTGCTAGAAATTATATTAGAGAATGGAAAAGCATTTTTAGATTGATTGTTTTTTCTCTTAACCACTGAAATGATCCATAAAAAATTCTATATCTTGGTGTTGTGTGTATGAAAAACAAATAGCATTTTCTCTAGACTGTAATGCACATTTGCTTTCAGTAAAAATGAAATCTTTGTTTAAAAAAAGAAAAGTAATAAAACCACAATGTTAAGGACCATATCACTGGCTGGAAGTTGAAGCTAGACAAATTCATACTGGAAATAAGGCATACATTTTTAACAGTGAGAGTAATTGACCATTGGAACAATTTGCCAAAGGTCATTGTGGATTCTCCATCACTGGCAATTTTAAAAATCAAGATTGGATGTTTTTCTAAAAGATATGCTCTAGGAATTATTTTCAGGAAGTCGTATGACCTGTGTTATACAGGAGGTCAGACTAGATGATCATAGTGGTCCCTTTTTACCTTGGAATCTATTAATTAGTAAAGTAATACAGCAATACAAATTTAATTGAAAGACCTGAACAGTTTAAGTGATGATACAACATTGCACAGTGTTCACATGGTCATATTAGAGATGGTCCCCCACCTCCTTACCACTCTATAATCAAATTCCAGTACAATTATTTTAATTCTTTAACTGTGGGATATTTACATATAAATCCCAAACTAATATTTTAATGGTTTTTACCTTCTCCCTTTCTCACTAATAACAGATTAATTTCCATATACCAGATGGGAAACAGTCCATTTTAAAAAACTGACGTGGGCCCAAGCATTTCAGAGGCCAATCCAAACTTCAGGAGCTCTCAGATCCAGTTGCCATTATGGGTATTGATCCCACTCCCACTAAAATCCGGGGTAGTGTTGGCATAAACTTCAGAGGGTGCAGTATCAGAAGGGAGCCCGAGTTAAGATTCATGATCATACCTACATTTTTCTAAAGTCTGGGGACATTTGCTATCAAGGCTTTGGTTGGGACCATCTCGAAAACTTTCACCAGCTATCTCATGAAACCAGCAGTACTCCATTTAAATCAACCAGGAAAAAAAATGGAAATCAAAGGTAAGTCTGACTACTATATTGAATTTGTGCCTAAATGCATTTCCTATGGATGTTGCTTTCTTATGAAATTAGAAATCGGTTTTGTATACCGATTAGAAGAATAACTAATTAAGGTTAAAATATATAAATATTTGCATATGAAGACTTCTTAAAAATCTTTAAAAAGTTGGTTTATCAAAACACCTTTATTTCTGCATAAAATCACATTGGGCCTGTAACATATTTACTAAAATACTTTTTGTGACTGATATGGTAAGTTCCTGCAATATCTTTAGGAGAACTTACTGTATTCAGTTTATGTATCATTTGTGGGCCTAGAACTGTATGGACTTCCATGGGGAAGTCCATACAAGAATCAAGAACAGTGGGGGATGATTAGGCAAATTCACTCAAGTTGCAACACCTCCAGAGAATTAACATCAGAGGCTTGCATATACAACAGGGGTGGCCAACCTGTGGCTTCGGAGCCACATGCGGCTCTTCAGAAGTGAGTATGTGGCTCCTTGTATAGGCACCGACTCTGGGGCTGGAGCGACAGGCGACAACTTTCCAATGTGCTGGGGGGTGCTCACTGCTCAACCTCTGGCTCTGCCCCCACTCCACCCTTCCTGCCCCCTCCCCTGAGCCTGCAGTGCCCTCACTCTTCCCCACTCCACCCTCATAGCCTCCTGCATGCCACGAAACAGCTGATCGGGAGGTGCGGGGAGGGAGGGAGAGGCACTGATCGGTGGGGCTGCCGGTGGGTGGGGGCACTGGGAGCAGAATGGGGGAAACTGAAGGGGGGCTGCTGACGTATTACTGTGGCTCTTTGGCAATGTACATTGGTAAATTCTGGCTCCTTCTCTAGGCTCCGGTTGGCCACTCCTGATACATGAGTTCAAATTGGATTCTCCAGAGGCCAATAGACAAAGAAAGGATTTTTGGATAAATAGTAGGGCTAGCAAGCGATTAAAAAAATTAATCGCAATTAATCGTGCGATTAAAAAAATTAATCGTGATTACGATTAATCACACTGTTAAATAATAGAATACCATTTATTGAAATATTTTTGGATTTTTCTACATTTTCAAATATATTAATTTCAATTACAATACAGAACACAAAGTACAGGGCTCATTTTATATTTATTTCTGATCACAAATATTTGTGCTGCAAAAAAAAATTCACCTCATATAAGTACTGTAATACAATGTCTTTATCATGAAAGTTGAATTTACAAATGTAGAATTATGTACAAAAAATAACATGCATTCAAAAATAAAACAATGTAAAACTTTAGAGCCTACAAGTCCATTCACTCCTACTTCTTGTTCAGCCTGTCACTCAGACCAACATGTTTGTTTACATTTGAGGGAGATAATGCTGCCCACTTCTGGTTTACAATGTCACCTGAAAGCGAGAACAGGCATTCGCATGGCGTTGTTGTAGCCAGTGTCGCAAGATATTTACGTGCCAGATGCACTGAAGATTCATATGTCCCTTCATGCTTCAACCATCATTCCAGAGGACATGTGTCCATGCTGATGACGGGTTCTGCTCGATAACCATCCAAAGAAGTGCAGAATGACGCATGTTCACTTTCATCATCATCATGAGTCAAATGCCACCAGCAGAAGGTTGATTTTCTTTTTTGGTGGTTCGGGTTCTGTAGTTTCCGCATTGTAGTGTTGCTCTTTTAAGACTTCTGAAAGCATGTTGCACACATCTCAGATTTTGGAAGGCACTTCAGATTCTTAAACCTTGGGTTGAGTGCTGCTCCTACCTTTAGAAATCTCAGATTGATACCTTCTTTGCTTTGTCAAATCTGCAGTGAAAATGTTCTTAAAATGAACAACATGTGCTGGGTCATCATCCAAGACTGCTATAACATGAAATATATGGTAGAATGTGGGTAAAACAGAGGAGGAGACATACTGTTCTCCCCCAAGGAGCTCAGTCCAATTTAATTAAAGCATTTTTTTTAATGAGCATCATCAGCATGGAAGCATGTCTTCTGGAATGGTGGCCGAAACACGAAGGGACATACGAATGTTTAGCATATCTGGCATGTAAATACTTTGCAATGCCAACTACAAAAGTGCCTCGCGAACATCTGTTCTCACTTTCAAGTGACATTGTAAATAAGAAGCAGGCAGCATTATCTCCTGTAAACGTAAACAATTTTGTTTGTCTTAGCGATTGGCTGAACAAGAAGTAGCACTGAGTGGACTTGTAGGCTCTAAAGCAGGGGTGGGCAAACTTTTTGGCCCGAGGGCCACATCTGGGAATAAAAATTGTATGGCGGACCATGAATGCTCACAAAATTGGGGTTGGGGTGTGGGAGGGTCTCCAGGGTGGGGCCAGAAATGAGGAGTTCAGGGTGCGGGAGGGGGCTCCAGGCTGGGACAGGGAAATGGGGTGCAGTGGGAGGACGACTCCAGCTGGGGGTGGGGGCTGAGGATGAGGAGTTTGGGGTGTAGGAGAATGCTTTGGGCTGGGACCGAGGGGTTCAGAGGGCAGAAGGGGGATCAGAGCTGGGGCAGGGGCTTGGGGTGCGGGATGGGGTCCAGGCTCCAGCTGGGGGTGTGTGCTCTGGGGTGGGGCTAGGGATGAGGGGTTTGGAGGTTGCTCCAGGCTGGGATTGAGGGGTTTGGAGTGCAGTTATGTAACAAAGAAAAATCTATATTTGTAAGTTGTGCTTTCACGCTAAAGAGATTGCATTACGGTACTTTATGAGGTGAATTGAAAAATACTATTTCTTTTCTTTATCATTTTTACAGTGCAAATATTTGTAATAAAAATAATAATATAAAGTGAGCACTGTACACGTTTTATTCTGTGTTGTAATTGAAATTGATATATTTGAAAATGTAGAAAACATCCACAAATATTTAATAAATTTAAATTGGTATTCTATTATTTAACAGTGCGATTAAAACTGCGATTCATTTTTTTGAGTTAATCATGTGTGTTAACTGTGATTAATCAACAGCCCTAATGAATAGCCTGAGTTTAAACTGACTCAGGGCCTCCTTTCTGATCCAGCAAACAGGTAGGATTTCCAGTCCAACGACGGTCCCAACTCATTGACTTTGGCCTACTGAGCACCCTACAACTGATGAGTGACCTCTGGTAACACTGGTCTACGATTTTTTAGAAGTCATCTGCTTCAGAGATAAAATGTGCTATTTATTATGTATTTTGATGTGCTGAATTCAAATATGACAATTAAAACAACTGATTGGCTACTGTTTCTAAGATATTTAAGTTTTTACATTTTATGTCTATGTATATTGTGTAGATAGTAGAGTTTTAATCATAAATTGTAAACCTAGGTCTTTACATGTGTTTATGGTTGCTTTACATCAGAGGTTCCCAAACTTATTTGGCCTACCGACCCCTTTTCAGAAAAAAAATTACTCAGCGCCCCCCT